GAGTCCCTGGCTGCTCTGTCATTCTCCTCCAGCCTATCTAGCCTAGCCTAACCAGGTTAGCTAAGATACACGGTCATAGTATTTCCAGGGTTTGCTTTTCAGCTCCATCCACTCAAGAACATGCTGTCTTCCAGGCACAGGGCTGCTCACTACTTTCTGGCCTGTCTAGTTCACAGTGTTGGTCTTTATGCTTTATAAGACATGGTTTCAAAGATTTGGGTGGAATTTTGGAGGGGATTTGGGAAAAAAAATCTTTCTTTTCTTTAGTTGCTGTTTATTGCAACTATGGAATTTTGCTTCTCCCTACAAGCACGGCAGGTGGTGCTCTTGATCCTTCCAAACAGAAATTGCACTTCCTAAGCTCCAGTAAGGTCAGAATTATGCCATCCAGCACCAGCTTGCTGGTTTTAGCCCTGTCTGGTTAGTCCAAGGATCTTTCAGCTTTGAGTGAAGTGTTTTCTATCAGTGAAAGCAGGGAAGAAAAGGTATTTTAAGTGGGGACTGGGTTTTGGCAGTAAATGAAGAAAAGATCAATGCAAACAAAAGCAGCTAGTTGGCAAGTACATACTTAACCACGCTATAGCCCAATCCAGCCTTGTGTCGCAAGTTTAGATGACAAAGATGCTAGCTGTGTAACCCATAAGTAAAACATTGTGGCTATTAAATTGTATGGTTCTGTTGAAGTCATTTCGGCTCTGCTACGTACTTTAAGTAGGATCATGCTTTCACCTACACATTGTAATTTCCCACTGCAAGCACCCCAAAACTTATAAGCAGCAACTATTTTAATTTCAAGATCTTTCATGATTTGAGAATAGCCATTTGCTTGTTTCTCAGCTGGCAGCTATAATCTGCGCTGAAGATCATGCGTTTGCTGTCACCCCTTACATCTTACAAAATCTGGATCAGAAAGGCCAACAGCAGTAGAGAGATAAATTCTCTTCCAGCTTTTAACAGACAGATGGTAATTAAAATTGGCAAGTGTCAATAGATATGCTTTTTTTAAAAAAAGAACATTTCAAGTGGAAAACCCACCTCTCAAGATTCCAAAATTCTTATTTGAAAATGTTTAGGAAAGTTACTAAAAATAGGCAATTCTGAGCAGAACTTCAAAACTTTGGGGAGAAAAATCATTATGAATATACACCAGGTACCTAGTCAACTGGATTCCTACCCAAACTTTTTTTTCAGCAATACTCCTGGAAAGGCGTCATTGCCGGGTGTTTTGAATTTTTCTTGTAAATATATGTTCCTTAGGCATTTCGTATTAGGTAAAAAAATATGCCCACTTCATTTATTCTAGCAGCATTTAGTGCTGCTGTTCCCCAGTCCTCTCCTGTATATGTTAACTATGTTCAGAGATACTGTAAAATAGGGGAAATTGTATGGTTTAGCCAAGACGTTATGCAAATACACTTGTTTAGTTTTTAGGTTTGTTTTCTTGGCATGCAAAGAGTAGACACCAATAGATGGTGCTGTTGGTGCATTAGTAACGTTCAGTTTCACATTTGTTTTGTGGTCTGTGGTTGGAATTTGTTTTTTTTTTAAAAAAAAAAAAGAGAACAAGAAAAAAAAGAACAAAACAACAAAATCCCTAATGCTAAGCTTTTATCCAAGATGTTCTGCCCACACTGAACCGGTCACCGTTTAACTTTAACCTGAACTGTGGCCCAGGAAATCCTTCAACATAAATAACCTTGGAAGCTGCCATGACCATTTTTGGAACGTGCTCCCTCAATAAATCTGTTACTTTGTTGTGCAATGTTGAAGTGTGCAGTTGTTTCTCTGATTAATTAGGGCAAAAAATAAACTTGCACGATCAATCCAAGCTGTGACACGTTTCAGCCCTGGCTAGAACACGTGGGTAGAAAAGGTCTTAGAGCCTCCCAACAGATCTGCCCTGGGATTTTAAGATGCATGCTTGCTTTTGAATTTACTTGATTTGACTAGATAAGGTGGCTGCTAACAAAGCCTGTAACTGAAGAGTTTCAGTCTGTCACAGAACTGCCGTGCTAGCTTAGTATGGGCAGGACTGAACCCCGTGAGAAATCATTCGTCTTGACCACCTGCCCCCGCTAAAGACAACATAACAGAACTGGTTTATGTAATAGTGTTTATTTTATTTCACATATTACCCATGGAGAACAGCTGATACATTCTCTACATCTTTCACCAGTCTGGAATGCAAGATAAAAAAAAGGTATGGAAAAAGAGTTTAACATTTGACATTCACGATATGAAAAATAGAGGGAATACAATGTTTTAAAATGCCCTTACGCAATATATATATATATAAAACGTATAAAAATAAAATATATTTTCCAAAAAAAAAAAAAAGATACAAACAGGACATGACACATGACAATCTTAAATACCGATACGTATCTCATGATCCACACACACCGCACTTAAAATTAACAAAAACCACGTACAATTGCACTTTTCCTCTCTGTGACGTTCAAGTATATCGCAGTCCCCGCAGGGACTAGTGAGTGTCCGATTCCCTGCCGGGTGCAGATAACGCAGAGGGTAGAGCAGATGTGGGCGACCTGTCCTTGCCGAGGGCTGAACGCGCACCCCCAGACGCTCGGGGGCAGAGGGCGAGGCCGGGGCCGCGGCCCCCGGGCCCGGGGGTGCCGCGCAGCGGCC